TGCCCCTCCAGCCAACTTCCCCGCTTCCGGCCCTCCGGCCCGCTTCCGGCCCTGGCCTCAAAGGCAGTTTCGGTGTCTTGAGGACAAGCAGTGCACTGCGAAAGGCCACGCCTCAGAGCCGCCGAAACTGCAAGCAATGTGACAAATGATCGTGCAATGATCATGCACTGCAGCACTGCACTGCAGCACTGCATGATCATGCACACTGCAACATGCACTGTACACTTGCTTATCTTACTTATCTTACTTCTACGCATCTTGAAGCAGATTGGCAGAAGCTTGCTTCCACTGCTCTTCTCACATTTGCACATCGCAGAAGGTGATTCGCTCATGGTTGACATTTGACATCATCATTTTCCAACGACCAAGTGGCACGTCGGCATAGGTGCCTCTGGGACAATCAAGACACTCTGTCGACTGGCTCTGGTTGGTGTACTTACCTGGCGAAAGCGCACTGGGCGCTTGCTTTTGGGTCACTCATACTTCAGCTGTTCCAGGTATGCAGCGCAAATCACGAACCACGCGAAAGTGAACGAAACATTACGAAACCATACAACACATTACACCACACTACGACACATCAACAATACATTAACAATACATTAACGATACATTACAATAGGTTACAATCCCACATGAAACCACATCATGAAACATCATTGAACATGATGTAGAACGAAAAAACTGACCATGTTCCCGGGCCATCCCGGGCCTTCAGAGCATTGAAAGCACCTCACTGATCCTCGCAGCTGCGTGTAGTTCCCCAGTCCACATGGAGTACAGGCCGTAGCTCCTGGTGCGCCACTGAAGGTCCCTGGCGAACAAAGATCACACGCCCCGGACGAAGCGAAAGAGCCTTCAGGACACATCTTGCAGCCATCCTTGGTGCTCATTATCCCTTCATCTGCAGGATCCAAAGGAAACAACGCAAATGATATCAACATGATATTGACAACGCATAAAAACGAAAAACAAGACCATAAAGTGAATCTGTGCGAAGATTTTCTGAGATATCTGAGATGGGATGGGATAATGAAGATACAGAGTTGTCTCAGCTTGATCATGTTACGATCAGTTCGATCCTTCATTTGGAGCTCAGCATCTGTCAGCGTCCAGGTACGACCTGCCTCGCACTGAGTCGTCCTGTCTGGTGGCACCCAACCGCCAGCGAAATTGCAGGTGGTGCCAGTACAGGGCAACTTTTTGTTCGTATCCTCAGAGACAAGGGGACTGGATCACACAGGGGCACTCAGGAAGAGCTAAACATCCTTTGAGGTGGGCAACTTATGCAAGCTACTTTGCTGGCAAACTCCATGTCAGACTAAGACCGCTGTCAGATCAACATAGATTTGACATAGGTTAACTATGAGTACACTGTGATGCACTCTTGCCCTTCAGCCTGAGATGCACTCAGAGAACAATTAGCAAGATCGGATGCCGAGTCTCTGTCGAGCTCCAGAGAACATCTGTCTTGAAATTGAGACCATCCTTGCTACAAGACGTGTTGAAATCAGACAACTTCTCAAACGTGTTGCCCGTATCATATCGAGATGTTTCGAGTGTATAGCATCGAACATCCGTTTTTCTTTCCTATCAGTAGTTGACAGTCCATATCCCTCGGTCTGGAATTGATCTCAAGGTCAAGAGCGGGATTGAAACACCATGAGTTGATTTCGTCAAATTCCAAAACCCAAACAGCAATTGTTTGTCAGAGGATCGTTCATCGTTCCAATCGCAATTATAATCATTTGAACCAACCGCAAGGCTATATATAGATATACCCAAAATCCCCTGGTTTATCACCATTAGAATCGCCATAAATTGGTACATATAGTATAGTATATGCCCCATTTTCAGACACACCCATGTACCATCTCGTCACTTGTTTTATGTATCGCATTAATTTCCAACAGTCACAATGTACACATTGTTGCCCGGATACGATTATCCTATCAATTTTAACTACAATTCTTCAAACTACCAATTCCATTAATTATACTTGGCGATTATTAAACGATATTAAAAACACTTGTTAAATTGCTGATGAATATTAATAGCGTTTAGTGTACCCTATTTGAAATACACTTACTAATCTTACTATCATCAATCATAATTCATATCCTCACCATATTTGGATGGTATCCCGGACACCTGCCAACGTCAATGCCTCCGTTCGAAAGGCCAGTTGGATGAAGGCAGACTCTGGAGGTCCTGTCACCTGGTGAACATCGCTGAACCGTTGATGTTTGAATCGATATGACATGTTGCTTATAAAATATTATAAATTGTTGATAGTCTCTGTAATTTCACAAAATCATGGGCATATCATATTATAATCTATAGTCTATATGATTGTTGCTGTTGCTGTTGGAATTGTTTAGTCCACACACCTCACCTGGCGGAGAAGAACAATGCCATCTCGATCGCCATAGGAGGGCGGCGTGGTCTTGGGATCAACTGAGTTGAACTGTCGGACGCGACCCGTTTGTCCATAGAAGTCGATCCCCAAAGACAGCCTCCCAGGTCGGAATCTGATGCTAAAAAACGCACACCGCAAAAATGTGCCATGGTAAATCTATGTTATCGAAGGAAGTTTAGAAGTCAAACTTCCGACAATATGGACAAATGAAAAGCAAAGATGGAAAGAGTCAGAGAGAAGAGACGAGTAGAAGAGAGAAGATCAGAGAAGAGAAAGAGCCAGAAGAAAGAAGATGCAGGTGCGCGAAAAGGTTGGAAAGTCGCGAAACACTTGTGTTTTTCCAATGATTTGTGGCTCCGGAGGGTCGAAAAGTAGGCTCGCTAAAGCGGCGAGTGCGGAGCCATCCAGATGAGAGCTGAAAAATTGCACGCCGTTGTGGCGCGAAGCACATTTCCAAGTCAAAATGTGCAAAACACACCATGCTCGGAGCACTTTTGGAAGTTGAGATGTCGAAAAAGTGCACGCCGTTGTGGCGCGAAGCACATTTCCAAGTCAAAATGTACAAAACACAGCAGCTCCGGACCACTTTTGGAAGTTGAGATGTCGAAAAAGTGCACGCCGTTGTGACGCGAAGCACATTTCGAAGTCAAAATGTACAAAACACCACATTTACTGGAGGTTCAGATGTTGTTTCGCGTGGCAGGCGCAAGGGATTGTGCACTTTCTCAAAGGCAAAACGTGAGGGTTTTGTGGCATTTCCAAAAACGATGGCAGGCGTGGGACATTTGAAGAGGATCTGCAAAGATGCATTTTGCGTGGCAGGCGCAGTACACAAGACATGTTCATCAGAGATGTTAGGAGGTCAGAGCGCTGATTTCCTGAGAGGGGTTGCATTTTGGGGCATCAGATCTGTAGGTTTGCTAAGATGATTTTGCGTGACAGGTGCAGCACTTCGTACGACCTGGCATCACTTTTCCGTGGCAGGCGCAGTACTTTAGATAGGTGGAGTGGAAAAATCGCAAAACGAATTGGTACGAGGCCGTCAGCTCTGCACTCAACTTTCCATTTTTGAAGGAGGTCTCGCAGAATTGCTTTGTATTTGATGTTGTCAAGTTCAGAAATTGAAGATGTCTCGCAGAATTGCTTCGTTTTGGATGCTGTCAAGTTCAAAAAATGAAGATGTCTCGCAGAATTGCTTCGGTTTTGATGTTGTCAACTTCGAAAAATGAGGAAGTCTCGCAAAATTGCTTCGGTTTTGATGTTGTCAACTTTGAAAAATGAAGAAGTCTCGCAGAATAGCTGGGTTTTCAAGCTTGCAGATAGACAGGTAGATAGACAGACAGACAGACAGACAGAGAGAGAGAGAGATAGATAGATAAGATAAGATAAGATAAGATAAGATTAGATTAGATTAGATTAGATTAGATAGATAGGTAGATAGATAGATAGATAGATAGATAAGATAGATACTGTTGATGGAAGAAATCCTGCACCACTTTCAAAGGCCTACACTTGAAACCTCGCGCTCCTAATTTAATATTGTTTGAAGACACAGTGATCAAAATGAATTTGCGCGAGTGACGGAAATCCTGCACCACCTGTCAACATGTCATTCAACATTGAGCTTGGGGGTACGGGGGTACAAGTTATGCATTAGCAAATCTAAGGCTATAGAGGTGGTGCAGGATTTCTTCCACCCACCGAAGAAAGAAAAGGATTTCTTGTATTTTTGGTCTTGCAAATTTCTTCCCGTCACCAGCTACTTCCAGGGGATCAAATCCATCGTCCGTCCTTCTTATAGTTCCCCCAGTGTGCTTCACTCTTCACCTGCACACAGCTGAGCACGAGGCAAAATGAGCTACATGGCAGCCGCCGCACGCTACACTGCAAACTACACGCAACACTCACGCTACACTACACGCAACACTACACGCTACACTACACGCAACACTACCAAAATGCTGTCAGGGGCAGCATTTCAGGTCAGGACAGAAAAAGCTGACATGTATTTTCATTTCATTCCTTAAGAGCCTCAAAGCTCCAAAATGCCGCCCCTGCCAGCAGTTCGGTAGTGTTGCGTGCAGTGTAGCGTGTAGTGTTGCGTGTAGTGTAGCGTGTAGTGTTGCGTGGGGCTGCCACGCAACACTGGTCACTTTCACGTGCTTCTTTTGAAAAGATTCTGCTTCCTCCCTCCTTCTGGTCAGGCAACCATTTTCCGGCATGCCAGCGCTGCTCTGCCCAGCTTGTGTTGCAATATAGTCAAATCTAAATGCACCAGGCTTGATGACCTTGAATTCAAAGGTTGATCTGCCGACAAGCTAATGAATGCATATGGCCAAAACATCCTTCAGCTTCTGCCCGCTGATTCTTTGCAGTTCTTCAACCAGGCACATAAAATTTCAGTACTGTTGATGGAAGAAATCCTGCACCACTTTCAAAGGCCTACACTTGAAACCTCGCGCTCCTAATTTAATATTGTTTGAAGACACAGTGATCAAAATGGATTTGCGCGAGTGACGGAAATCCTGCACCACCTGTCAACATGTCATTCAACATTGAGCTTGGGGGTACGGGGGTACAAGTTATGCATTAGCAAATCTAAGGTTATATAGAGGGGTGCAGGATTTCTTCCACCCACCGAAGAAAGAAAAGGATTTCTTGTATTTTTGGTCTTGCAAATTTCTTCCCGTCACCAGCTACTTCCAGGGGATCAAATCCATCGTCCGTTCTTCTTATAGTTCCCCCAGTGTGCTTCACTCTTCACCTGCACACAGCTGAGCACGAGGCAAAATGAGCTACATGGCAGCCGCCACACGCTACACTGCAAACCACACGCAACACTCACGCTACACTACACGCAACACTACACGCTACACTACACGCAACACTACCAAAATGCTGCCAGGGGCAGCATTTCAGGTCAGGACAGAAAAAGCTGACTTGTATTTTCGTTTCGTTCCTTAAAAGCCTCAAAGCTCCAAAATGCTGCCCCTGCCAGCAGTTCGGTAGTGTTGCGTGCAGTGTAGCGTGTAGTGTTGCGTGTAGTGTAGCGTGTAGTGTTGCGTGGGGCTGCCACGCAACACTGGTCACTTTCACGTGCTTCTTTGAAAAGGATTCTGCTTCCTCCCTCCTCCTGGTCCGGAACCATTTTCCGGCATGCCAGCGCTGCTCTGCCCAGCTTGTGTTGCAATATAGTCAAATCTAAATGCACCAGGCTTGATGACCTTTAATTCAAAGGTTGATCTGCCGACAAGATAACGAATGCATATGGCCAAAACATCCTTCAGCTTCTGCCCGCTGATTCTTTGCAGTTCTTCAACCAGGCACATAAAATTTCAGTACTGTTGATGGAAGAAATCCTGCACCACTTTCAAAGGCCTACACTTGAAACCTCGCGCTCCTAATTTAATATTGTTTGAAGACACAGTGATCAAAATGGATTTGCGCGAGTGACGGAAATCCTGCACCACCTGTCAACATGTCATTCAACATTGAGCTTGGGGGTACGGGGGCACAAGTTATGCATTAGCAAATCTAAGGTTATAAGAGGATATAAGAGGTGGTGCAGGATTTCTTCCACCCACCGAAGAAAGAAAAGGATTCCTTGTATTTTTGGTCTTGCAAATTTCTGCCCGTCACCAGCTACTTCCAGGGGATCAAATCCATCGTCGGTTCTTCTTATAGTTCCCCCAGTGTGCTTCACTCTTCACCTGCACACAGCTGAGCATGAGGCAAAATGAGCTACATGGCAGCCGCCACACGCTACACTGCAAACCACACGCAACACTCACGCTACACTACACGCAACACTACACGCTACACTACACGCAACACTACCAAAATGCTGCCAGGGGCAGCATTTCAGGTCAGGACAGAAAAAGCTGATTTGTATTTTCGTTTCGTTCCTTAAAAGCCTCAAAGCTCCAAAATGCTGCCCCTGCCAGCAGTTCGGTAGTGTTGCGTGCAGTGTAGCGTGTAGTGTTGCGTGTAGTGTTGCGTGTAGTGTTGCGTGGGGCTGCCACGCAACACTGGTCACTTTCACGTGCTTCTTTTGAAAAGATTCTGCTTCCTCCCTCCTTCTGGTCAGGCAACCATTTTCCCGCATGCCAGCGCTGCTCTGCCCAGCTTGTGTTGCAATATAGTCAAATCTAAATGCACCAGGCTTGATGACCTTTAATTCAAAGGTTGATCTGCCGACAAGCTAATGAATGCATATGGCCAAAACATCCTTCAGCTTCTGCCCGCTGATTCTTTGCAGTTCTTCAACCAGGCACATAAAATTTCAGTACTGTTGATGGAAGAAATCCTGCACCACTTTCAAAGGCCTACACTTGAAACCTCGCGCTCCTAATTTAATATTGATTGAAGACACAGTGATCAAAATGAATTTGCGCGAGTGACGGAAATCCTGCACCACCTGTCAACATGTCATTCAACATTGAGCTTGGGGGTACGGGGGCACAAGTTATGCATTAGCAAATCTAAGGTTATAAGTGCAAAACCCTCAGCGCCGCAACAACCCGACGCACAGCATTTTTCGCTGCCAAGAAACCCAGGGGAGTTCTTGAGTATGATATGTCGCATCAGCCATCGGTGTGGAATGACGGAACATGAAATGTGCATGCCCCCTACTATAAAAAAAATCATGGAACCCGATGCACTGTGAGGAAGTTTGAAATCAAAAACAACAAATCAAACAGCTTCGACCGTCCGATCGTCCATAGCTTCCATACCGTCCCGTTTCCGAGATCGAGCTGAGGCCATGGATGGGTCATCCACGATTTTCCACCAGTAGTTCATTCTCTTGAACAAAGCAAACTGATGTTTCTCTCCAGGTTTGGTAAGTCCATTGCCCAATTGGGCACCAGAGTGCACCCAGCGAGTTTGTAATCCAGTGAAATCCATGGCATCTTTGATGATGAGGGCTTCCAAATCTGAACGTTTTTCAGCTCCCTTTATGGTCATAATCGGTTTAGTAACTTTGTCATAAACATTCCTACTGTCAGTAACCAAAATACCATGGGTCTGCATAGCCGTACTTTCAGGGTCATAAAGGTTCAATCGGTGTCCCTTTAACTCAG